AGCAAGCAGTTCCTGCCTCAGTGACAACTCGATGTATTTGTGTTATAAACACAAACCTATCAGAGTGTGCATTACACACACCTTACCATGACATGGCAAATGGTGCCTGGCTTCCAAGATAAGCTTTATGGAGAGTGAAGAGGAAGAGACAAAAGAAGTAGGTGAGAGACCCAGAAAAAAAAACACTTCCCTAATCCTTTGATGTTACAAAGTGATCAGTGATGAAAGAAGCATCGTTTTTTTTTTTTTACTCCCCCCTCCCCCCAGCTTCCACAGATTGAAAATTGGAGGCTAAATATCCCCAAAGATGGCTCCTACGGAGGAACGGCTGCTAGGAGCCTCACACTAAAACCCAAAGCAAATGACAATTGATATGCTTTTTATTTTTAATTGACGTAGTAATGGTACATATTTATGGGGCACACTGTGACACTGCAGTACATGTGTACAACTTGCAATAATCAGATTAGGGTGAGTGGCACATCCATGACCTCAGACAGTTATCTTTTCTTTGTGCTGGGAACATTCCAAATCCTCTCTACTAGCTATATTTTTAATATCCAATTAATTGCTTTAAGCCATAGTTATCCTACTGTGCTTCTGGAGCATTCAAAGTTACTTCCAACTGTACCCAACAGTAGATATGGTGGCTGGACACTTGCCAGGTATGTACCAGCTTTACTTTCAAAGTCACTCACAATGAGTGCCATCCCAAACTTTCTCAAAGAGACTTTATTCTTTGGATCTTAAATTACAGAAAGCAAATGATTACCCCCACACAGACACTGGAAATTGTTTTAGAGGCCCAGCAGACCAAAGTAATTTCTAAGAAGCTTAAATTTACAAAAATCATAACCTGAGAGTGGATCATCCAGGTAATGTAGGGATAACAGTATCTGACCGAAATGCAATAGATTACAATATAACAAAAAGCATCAGGATATTTAATCAAGCCTGGAGTACATACTATGAACTATTTGAGGCTCAGTTCTGTGACAGTCCCTGGGTGGAGGTACTTAACCATGAGCACTCACTCTAGGATTTTCTAGTTAGAATAATACACAGGTAAGAAATTCAAGTAATATGAGGAAGTACATAATCACATTTTACAACTATGCAGAGACCATGCATTCAATTAGACTTCTTGTCTAATTGAAAATAGTTCCTGGGATCTCCTTGTAATGAGATTATGAGGCAGAACTGAAGCTATAGGCTCAGTTCTTTAAACCCATAAATTATTCTAGTTAAAATGCAACTTTGGACTTTATCTTCCTCCAAGTTTTCTGATTTTTTTTTTTTCAGGACGGACTTTTCTTTCTTTGGAGTTCTCAAGTTTATGTACATATTTAGTATATTTAATTGTGTTCAACTGTTTGAAAATAACCTGACCTCAAATAAAGTAAATAATAAAAAAAAATTGTATTTTCCCTGTGAACAAAATTAGTCTTAGCTTGAACTATGGAACACCCTATCAAACCATTCAATAATGGTTAATTATAGCTCTAAAGAATAACAAATCAAGTGTAAGAAATCACATAGAAAAAAGCCAACACATCATAACACAGGTGTGGATTTCATAGTAAAGACCAAAAAAAAAAAAAAATCAAAAGGTTGACAGGCAATCACAAAGAAAATGAAATGAGCACCTAACTAGAGATGGGCCAGTGATCGATTCCCAAACCTCCCCAAAACCATTGATGAAATGAGGAAGGAGGCTCACATTTGGACCAGCTGTCCACACTGACAAAATCATGTAGACATCTCCTTACAACACCAGTCATTCCAAAAACATGTATCAAATTGGGCTGAATAATTATTCAGTTCTCCATGTTGAACGATTATATCCTAAATCATGAGATGAACCAGTCAATGGGTAGAGAAATGAATTTGGATTTCATTAAATAATAGCTAATATTTACACCATACTAGATCATTCATAAAGAACTTTAACTCATAGAAATCACTTCATCTGCCCCTAAACAAGATTCTGAGAGGTAGCCAGGGTTACGTTCATCTTCTGTTTAAAGAGGAAGAAATTGAGGATCACACAGGTCAATGGCTCACCTAAGGTCACCCCACAATTAGAACCCCCCCTCTCCTGCCTCTGTCACCCACTCTGGCTGAATTGCAAAAGCAGCCTTTAGATTCCATACCTTGTGCCTATGTAACCGACTGTTGAGTGAAGAATCCCAATTGGGCAGAGGGACACATATATGAAATATTTGTACATTTTCAAATAAACTCTACCAAACTGTCCTGTGGACAGCTTTCTTCCCCACTCCCAGCTGGAAAGTGCCTCTTTTAAACACATCTCAGCCTGATTCTATAACTTTTCATCACGATTTCAATGAATGAAAGTTTTATTTCAGTTCCAGTCCCTTCTTCCTTGGAGCAGGCGGTCTAGGGTGCCCCGAGTTTGGAGCTATGGCTTGGAGTGGGTGGCGAGGTGAGCATCCCACCCTCTTTGCCTTGAGACAGCAGCCTCCTCCCAGAAGCCATTAAAGACTGTGAGCTCAGGGAGGCCTCAGCAGGGGGTGTGGAGGACTGGCCCTGGGCACAGATTCCTCACCTCTGTGGAACGGAGCAGCATTCCACTAAGAGCAAGAAGGTCTCCTGTCCCGCCTGGCTCCTATCCGCAAGTCCAGCAAGCCTGCAGGCCCAGCTCCTCCAAGATCCTGAGCCAACATGTACCCTCCAGCCCAGAATGGTCCCTGCTCCCCATCTCCCGCCCAGCGCCTTCTCCACACCTCCCTGCTCCCTGCACTTTCCTGGTGCTTTGCAATCTGTATGTGCACAAAGGCTTCCATCCAGGGCAGAAGGTATCAGCCTCTCCTTGAGACACTGTTGAAATGGAGATCGAATGTTTCTGACTGCAGATCCACTCCCTCGGGAGTTTAGTAAGGACAAAGCCAGTGAGATCACCTCTCACCTTCCAGGTCCACAGTGAGCACAAACCCTGAGCATCCTAGATGTGCTGGCAGCCCTGCACCTCCCTGTGCTGCCCCCCTGGGAGTCTCCAACCCAGTGGGCATTACTTTTGAACTCAATATGTTGGCTTGAAGTAGAGGGATCCACCTCTACTTTAAAGTGGCCCTTATAATACTAGGTAGACTCTTCCAGCTTTCTAAGGGAAAAAGTAATTACCTCTGGTGTTATGAAAGAGTAGTGCAAGCTCTAAACTCTGCGGTATGTGTACAGTCTAACTCAAGTGCAAAGGCGTGAGAGCTATTAAAACTTTATTGCAATAATAGTATTATGATCTTTGACGCCCAGACTTCTTACTGTGTGCCAGGCTCTGATTTAAATGCTGTAGGAATCTTATTATACATGTTCTCTTCATTAATCTGTCCTAGAATCCTTTGGGATAGGCACCCTTAGATCTCCAGATCAAATGAGAAGATTGAGGCCAAAAACCCAAGGCTAGAAATGGAACAGGATTCCACTCTGAGATGTGTGGTCCTCACCACTATACAACACTGTCTCATTGACTATGTTTCTGGAGAATACAAAAACGTTATCTTAGCTAAACTTCTGTCAGTTCTATTCCTAGAAGGACCAGCATATATTAGTGCTTTACCCTTTTATGTAGGCACTGAGTGAGAGATTTAAGAACATCATGCTGTTAACCTCAAACTCTTCTTCCCCCCTCCCCGCTAGCCCCACTTGAGACTCATGTGGAAACCTCAACCCTTTTTTATAGATGAGAAAACTGCAACTCAGAGATATTAAGTTTCTTGGATAAGGTCATGGCATTAGTAAATGGCAAAGCCAGGCCACAAACCCAGGCCAACCTGACCCCTGAGTCTGTGCTCTAAGCCACCACACTTCGGCTTCTTTTGAGTGAAATAAATGAGACCTGAACACAACTCAGATCTCCAGCCACTGGCACCATCATGGATGTTACTATTAAAGAGTCAAAGACTGTAACTGAAGACTTTTGAGTTTACCATCTCTGAGGGGAGCACAGGCAGGGCCCCACTGTGTGTCCCCACATGCCTTGAAGGGAGCAGTGGCAGCCCCCTTCCAGCATGCAGGAATTCAGACTCCACCCAACTGTGGCCAGCTGCTTGGTCTTTATGGGCATTGGAGTTTTCAATCACTAATCTAGGAATGATCTCATCTGACCATTGCAACTGGTGCAGGATCTAGAAAAAAAAAAAAAAAAAAACCCATGTCAATTGTGCATGGCTTCCCTGTAGTGTAAAACTAGACCTCTGGAGTTAGGGAATTCCCATTTCAGTGTCTTCTTGGCATTAGGCCAATTTTATTTTACAATTTCCGACTTGAGTCTAATGTTTGGCTCCTGGTCACAGACAAGTGGCACTGACTCTGCTCTTTTGGAAAAAGGATCCTTCTAACACAGGGCTAAGGTCAGCCTCCGCGTGCCATTTTTGGCCTCAACAATTTCATTTCTCTCTCTGTAGACTATCGCCACACCTTTTCCAAGTCCTCTCTTCCTTCCCCTGGGACCTGGAGGCTCCCTGGAGGGTCAGGACAATCTGCATCGTCAGTGTCAATCGTGTATTTGTGTGGAGTGATGCTCTTCTGAAAAGAGAAACATGGCATCCACAGAGCTACAGATAAATGAATGTTAGAGTCAAGACCAACAAGGGAGAAAGGACACCCCGTCTTTGCAAACCAGAGGTACAACTGAACATGATAAGGTCAGACAGAGAATTTGTACATGAACGCTAGCTGTCTGAACACCGTGTAGTTGTCAGAAACACATTCGAAAGGGAGGAAAAAGAAAAATATGATTTCTCATCCTGACATATTTTGGATACCAGCCAATAGGGGGAGAGGGTCATTACTGAGATATTTTTCTTCCTTGAACACTATGAAAATTAACAGAATATTATAACACTTTATTTCTCTAGAATGTGGGGTAGGAAAGAAGACCCTTCTTTATAGTGATAGATTCTTCTTTTCTGTGTATAGAATATTTATATTTTAAATTATTGGAGGATTAAAAATAAAAGCTCAGACTCATCTTTTATTTATTAAAATATGTTTATTTTATTTATTATTTATCAGACTTTTATTTATTTAAAATAAAAGCTCAGAGCAAAAAAAAAAATTTGAGAATATTTGTTCATTTAACAAGCATCCAAGAGGTTCTGGTTTCAGGTATAGTTGGATCCAGACACGTGTGTGGTATCATCAGGAGGCATTATTCATCTCCTGGTTCTGTTTTCCTTTGTATTGGCTTTGATCTCTGGCAGGATAGATGACCTCCAGCAGCTCTTGGTATAGCAGTCCCAGTGTAGCAGTCCCAGCAGAAAGAAATGATTCCTCTCCAAGAATTTGAGTAAGATCCTCCAGATTGTCTCTGTTTGATCTGGCATTGGTGAAAGGCCCACCCCAGAATTAATTATTGTGGCCAAAGGGATGTGGACTTCTCCTTGGTTGGACCTGAGTCCCCCACAGAGTGCAGTCTCCATCCAAACCGTAAGATCAGCATCAGAGAGATGTGATTCTCCAGAAGAAAGAGCTGGCTTCTGTGTGCAGAGGGGCAGTGGGCAGGCCAAGCCACAGAAGGTCATGAGAAGTCTTCACACAGCTTGGGGCCCAGGGAGCAGGAGCCTTCATTCATCCATTTTTCTCCTTGTCCTCTTTCAGGACTGAGTTCCTTAGCTTCTGCAGCCAACCCACAAATAAACCAGAAAAGTAAAAATTATTATTTTCATTGGATTACTGCATCAAATACAATAAGACAGGAGCCAATATAGCCAATAAAAAGAACTCTTTATGTGAGATTTCCTAGCTGGTCTTAGAAACTCAGTAGTTAAGACCAGGTAAATACTAAGCCTCCATATGCAATTCACTCCAACTCCCACATTAATTCTGAGGCTCCTGCATTATTGGTATCGAGCCAACTCTTAATTATTGGAGGACATGGAGTATGAGGTATGGATCAAACCTAAAGTTTGGCGTTTGCCAACAGATTCAGCCTCTTCCCCAGATAAACCCCAGATAGCCCAGCTGCAGAGAGCAACACTAATTTGACTTTCCCCTCTGGTGAAACTGCTCCCACACATACCTAGATAGGGCTGTGGGTCCTACACTCCTGACACACTTCACAGACTCTGATTAATTCTTATCAAACTGATTCCAAATTGCAGAAGGGGGGCGTTTTATCATTTTGGCAAAAAGATTTCAATTAACCGAGAACTTAAAAAGCCAATGGTGAAATCAAATCCAAAGTTGCCACTTTAAGCTCCCTTCCTTCCTGCCCTGCCCCCATCTCCAAGTCGGCCAAGCCCCTCCGCCATCTTTCCTACCCAAGCACAAAGCATTTTCTTCCTCCTCTGTCCTTAATCATTCTGAAGTTCCAGTACTTACCTAAGCCCAAGCAGATGGCCAGAGAGGGACTGTAGATGAGAAATGGAAATGGTTAAAGGAAGAATCTTGATGGTTTTTAGAGCAAAATAAACCAAGGAGTGGTCAGAAGCCCAAAGAGGGCATGGAGGAGTTTCAACAGAAGCCAGTTAAAGGGTCTGGCCACTGGTGTCTGGCTTAGTGGTCAGTTTCATTTCACCCTAGATTCTTCTCACCCCATTTACTCCAGCTACTGAATCACCTCATTTTATTCACTCAAAGACGGCTCCATACTCTTTTTTTTGGAAATCTTCCTGTGGACCACACCTTGCACCCAGCTCTTGATTGCTAATAACATCCAATCTTGACTGTGATGTATCTGCTGCCATTGCTACCCGCTAACATTTATTCAGACCCCCTGCATGCCCAGCAGAATGTCGGATGTCAGTGTGAATTATTTGTTCCCATTCTTATGTAACTCTATAGAATAAGATACTTTTGTTATTCCTGTTAAAAATTGTACTTAAAATGAGAAAGCCACTTGCCCAAGGTTGACCCATCAACATGTAACAGAACAAAGGCTTGACCATGAGGAAAAAGGAACTTAGAAAACCCACACCTTTGTCTATAGTCCATTGTTGAAAGACCAGACTGTATTCATATATTTAATAAAGCTGTGATTCTGCTTATAACATCCACTAAGCAAATTCTTGATATGAAGGCATAGATTATATCCCTTAACATAAAGCATATTAAAATGTTAGGAATAATTAAAACTATGTAAACAATTTTTTCAGGATAAATATTTAATAACACTGAGCTCCAAAGACTATGAAAACCTATGACAGGATTGACATGGTGATTTAGGCCTAAATTCTGGCAACTAAGAATAAATCATGAAAACTCCCATTATGATTACAGAACAAATAGCTAACATATGGTAGAATTCATGTAGGATTTGGAGTCAGGAGACCTGAGTTGGGATTTCCTGTGGAACTTAAGTCACTTAACCACTTCAGGTTATGAAGACAATCATAAAACATCTGCTAGTGAGATTGCCATGTGTTTTAGCCAGTTTTCCGTTACTATAAGAAAATATCTGAGATAATCAACTTATAAGGAGGAAAGGTTTTCTTTGGCTCACAGTTTCCATGATCAATTGAGCCCATTGCTTTTGGGCTGTGGTAGGAGCACATGGTTAAACGACATGCTTCACATAAGGACCAGAAAAGAAAAGAGCAAAAGAAGAACAGACCAAGGTCTCACAAACTCCTTCTAGGGCACTACCCCACCCAATGACCTAAAAACTCCCAACAGACCCTGTCTTTTAAATTTTCCACCACCAACCAATAGCCACAAGCTGGGGAACAAACCTTTAAGACATAGGTCTTAGGGAAACATTTTTTCCATGAAAATTAAATATATTGTGAATAAGAAAATATGTTTGGCACCTAGTAGATGCTTAAAAAGGAAATTTAATTAAAATTGTAAATAGACCTCCTCTTTGATCCAGCAATCCCACTGCTAGGAAATAACCCCTCAGAAAGAAAAACACAGGTAAAGGAAGATTCACAGCATGAATATTTATTAAGCTTTAAATAGCAAAGAAGAAAAAATTGGAATGGCTGACTGAACTGCGTTCCATCCCTGGTCCAGAGGCTGCGAAATCCGATCCAAGTTGTGGGGCCATGGAGTGGAATTGTGTGAGCGATAGAACCAAGCTACCTGAAATCAAACTGTGCCTGCATCAGCATCGTATCCTCCCGGGAAAAATCACTTCACTTCCCAGGGCTCAGACTCCCCTCTGTAAAATGGAGTTGATAAAAGTGGTTGCTTTGTAGGTCACTGTGAAGATTAAAGGGAGCTAACGCCTGCGAAGTGCTTAGAAGTCAGGAGTGACTGTCAAATATCTTGAAGACTTTTCATTTTCAGTTTTATTGAGGTATAATTGACACATTCACCATCTCTAGGAACACAGCTGCAGGAACTTGGGTAATTGCAGGCAGTCACATAATCACCATCAAGGCTTTCCCTACCTTCCCAAAGAGCTTCCTCAAGCCCTCTTGCAAAATATTCACGTTCCCTAGCCCCTCACCCCACCCCCATCCCTGTTTTCCAGGAACCACTGAGCTGCTTGTGGTTTTCACTTTTCTAGAACATTACATAGATGGAACCACAGTATATGGACTTTAGTGTTTGGGTTCCTTCACTTAACCCAGAATGTTTGAGAGCTGTCAAAGTCATCTATGTGTGTGTGCTTTCCCCACCCCAGGACTAGGGATGGAACCTAGTGGTGATCTGTCACTGATCTACATCCCAGCCCTTTTAATTTTTGGCCTCAAACTTGTGATTCTCCTGCCTGAGCCTCCCAAGTCGCTGAGATTTCAGGCATGGGTCACTGTGCCTAGCTGCCAATGTATATATTCATGAATTATTGCTTTTCATTGCTGAGTAGTATACCATAGCAAGGAATGTGTTTGGGGTTTTTTTAATTCACCAATTGATAGAAATATACGTTGTTTCCTTTTTTTCCCCCTTTTTCTGGCTACCATGAATTGCACTGCTGTGGATTTATGTATTTTGCGTAGAAAACCTTGTGTAAACATGTTTTCATTTCTCTGGGATAAACAACTAGTGTATGTCTAACTTTGTAGTAAACTGTCCATGTTTCCCATGGTTGTGGTATCATTTTACATTTGTGTATATCTCATCATAACCATTTTTTTAAAAAGAAGAACTCTTCAGCACTCACATGGAAGCCCTGGGTAAAACACTGCAAATTGCATTCATTTTATGAAAATGGGTATAAATATAATTGCACAGTTAAGGGGAAAAAAATGGGAGGAAAATGCCCTATTATTTTACGGCTGTCACCTTTGCAGCACAGCATGAAACGGAACAAAGGCAACTCTCTTCCATTTGTCGAAGTGGCAGGTTATGAATAATTTTTCTCTCTCATTTTAAAATATTTTTCAAATACACAAAACCATTAATTTTACTTGAATCTCATGCTCCATTACAGAGGGATTTTCTCCTTTCCTAGAGACCCCTGCAAGGCAGATGCTGAGATTCCTTGTCCCATTTAGGGTGTGGGGAGATGATGGAGGGACCACAGAAAGGCTTTTCAAGTTTTCACAAGGCCTAGGAGGAATCCAGCGTTCGCTGGTACCAAGAGAAATGATCTTTTCTTTATCAAAGCACCAAGATAGTCCCATGGCTGTTCCTGCCTGAGACTAACAAGTTCTTCAAGGTAGCAGTGTTTGCCAATTAGTGACTTGATGGTCTCCAGGTCCAGGGTGACCTTGCCGTAATCTCCCCTTCGTGCTCAGTGGCCAGGGGGTAGTAAATCACGCCTTCCCACTAAACCCTGGGCTGCAAGCATCTGAGCATCCTGTGGGTTCCCCTGGCCCCTCACCCGCTGAGGCCGGTGCTCTTTGGCTCTGCCCCTCTGCCCAGCATGTCTGGGCCTTTAGTCACCGCTTCAGAGCCACTCTTCCAGGAAAAGCCTATTGTTCCTGCACTTCCGGATCACTTACTTCCTGTCTCTCCTTTTTTTTTTTTTTTATATAAAGGGAAAGAAGAAAGTCAGAGGGGGTCCTGCTCCATTTCACAACTGTGGCTTATTAGATGATCATTATGTCCTTAACATGGGTGCAGGTTAAACACATCACGACTTGCCTGACCTAAATCCATAGCGTCCACCTGGGTGCTCAGTGTGAGTGTCACCATGTCTTCATGTCCATGGGCATGCAGCTTCGACTTTGATTTTGCTCTGAGACCTCAAAGGAACTTGTAAGAGAATGCACGTTGTCACTAATGCTACACCAACGACCCATTGAATGAGGAAGACACTGAAGTCCAGGGAGGGTGGACATCTTCCCATGCTGGGAGGTGCGGGGACATGAATACCTGGAAATGTCTCTTCACGGCTCCTGCCCTTCCCCCAACTCACATCAAGATAAGAACTGGGTCAAACTACTGAATCTTGCTGCCCAGAAGGAGACTGAGTCACTAGGAGTGGGAATGACTGGCTGGGAACTCAGGAAGCCAAGAACCAGGTTTTGAATCTTGGCATTAACACGCATACATGCACACATGCATACATGTGCAAAACACACACATGCAAGGGGTTGCTCCGTGTCTGGCACTCTCTTAATACTTACGTGCACTATTCTATTAATTTTGACCCCCTTCTGATGGGGTAGGTATTCTCCATGTTTTTTGTGTGTAATATTAGGGATTGAAACCAGGCCTTGCACACACCAAGCAAGTGCTCTACCACTGAGATATACCCCACAGCTCTATTCACCACATTTTACGCATTAATATGTACATATGTTAATGAACTTGTCCAAATTCACACAGCTGGTAAAAACCACTGAGCCACAGTTAACTCAGGCTTGTCTAACAGCAAAGAAGCATCACTAACCGCCCCCCCCCCACCATCATTTGCTGGCTGTGTGATTCATCTGTTAAAATGGGAAAAATAAAACCTATAGAATCTGCTTCCATTTTGGGTTAATAATTATATGAATTTAAATGTGTATTTATCACACACAGAGACTCATTTCTTCTCTTTATTCCAGTTTTGGTTTGCTTCTAGGTAAAGTGCTTATTATCACTGGGTAATTTTAGGAACTGAATGAGAAAACATGGAAATACTTTGGAAACCGTATTTTGCTATACAAAATTAATTATTATTCTCACATATTTTAGACAAAAATGTATGACTAGGCATTCTAAATGAATCATAAATTTTCCAGTGATCAGATTGGCAAAGATAAAAATGTTGATAATACATTGTGTTAGGAGGTTGAAAGGAAATGAGCATGCTCACACATTGCTTATGGTTGTGCAAATTGTCAGGTCCTCAAAGGAGATACACTTGACATTCTTCAAAGGCAAACATGTAAGTAAACATTCTTTGACATAGTTTTTCCAACTACCTAAGCATAAAATTATACAAGGCTATTTATCATTAGTATTATTATCTGTAAAATGGGAGTGGAGAAAAATAACTCAAAGTTTATAAAAAAAGATTTGGTTAGGCTGG